GAGGAATTAAAGAACCTCTTAATGAGGGTGAAAGAGGGGAGCGCAAAAAATGGTCTGAAGCTCAACATCAAAAAAACGAAGATCATGGCCACTGGTCCCATCACCGCCTGGCAAATAGAAAGGGAAGATAAGGAGGCAGTGACTTTCTTGGGCTCTATGATCACTGCAGATGGGGACATCAGCCATGAAATTAAAAGACACCTGCTTCTTGGGAGGAAAGCGATGAGAAACCTAGACAGCATCTTAAAAAGCAGAGACATCACCTTGCCGACAAAAGTCCGCATAGACAAAGCAATGGTTTTTCAGTAACGATGTATGGAAGTGAGAGCTGGACCATAAAGAAGGCTGACTGCCAAAGAATTGATGCTTTTGAATTGTGGTGCTGGAGGGGGCTCTTGAGGCAAGGAGAACAAACCTATACATTCTAAAGGAAATCAACCCTGAGTGTCATCAAAGCTACCACCATGACTTTGACCCAACTCCAAGAGGCAGTGTGGAAGACAGGAGGGCCTGGCGCGCTCTGGTCCATGGAATCACGAAGAGTCGCACGCGACTTAACGACTAAAGAACAACATTTCTTATGTTAGACAAAGTGGTAAGAAACTGCGGCTCTCCAGACACTTTAGACTATAATTCCCATAATCCCTTACCATTAGCTACAATGGCCAGGGTTCTTCCAAGTTGTAGGCAAGAAAACTCCAATCAGTCTAGGAGACCACAGTGGCCTGTCTGCTTCAGATCATTAGCTGTTTTCTGTATCTTACGATGGAAGAGTGGGATAACATTAACTGAACTAAACATCTGCTTATATGATCTCATTTGTATTCTCTGTGGCTCAGATCTAAAGGAACTTGCTCACCTAAAGAGATGTGTCAGCCACAGCCAACTTCTTCAGTCTGAGGGACTAGATTGTCTCCAGCAAAGACGCGTGTTGGCCTAACCCTCAGCACCATTCTCGGCTATAGTGTCTGTCCTACCCAGCTCAGAAAAATCAAACTCTCTAGATTCAGAAACTTCCATGTATTCCTGGCACTAAATAAGGGGACATTCCAGAGTCCTATGATGCATCCACTCCTATTCTGATGAGAAAAGTACATTTGCAAATTCAGAAGCAATACATGTGACTCACTCCTCATGAGTCACTGTTAAGACTGATTCCTATTCCAGCATCATCACTATGCAAGCAATTTTGCTCTTGCCCAGTAGAGGGAAGCATCAGTTCTCAATTTTCCCCCTCCGAACATCTAATTCAGTTTCTGGGTGGCTCAACCAAAGTACTACAGTACAAGTAATTACAGTGGTACCTCAGTTTACAAACGGAAATCCATTGAAAATAATGCCTCAGTTTACTTTTTTTTCTGTTTTTTTTTCTGTTTACAGAGAAAGTTTCCCCGGGATGCTACCAACTCACTGAAGCGACCAGCATGAATTTGACCAAACTCGAGGAGGCAGTGGAAGACAGGAAGGCCTGGCGTGCTCTGGTCCATGGGGTCACGAAGACTCGGACATGACTTAAAGACTGAACAACATCATCAAATAAATAAAGCAAACACCTCACCTCAGCCTGGTCCTTACGAAGCTGGGACTTAATATAAGAGGTTCCCTTGATGAGCACCCGAATATGTTGCTGCTTCTCATTCTGCAAGAACGACAGCAAAAAAGTGAACGACAGATTTGAAATATCAGGCAACAATAAAAGAAAAAGGAAGAAGATAAAAATGTTGTGGCAACTTAAAGACTATCTGCTATATTTTAATGTGAGCTTTTGGGGACGAGTCCACTTCCTCAGACATACGTTTGGACTTGTCTGTGAGGAAGTGGATTTGTCCAGAAAAGCTCACATTAAAATACAGGCGCTCCTCACAATCTACCTCTTTAATGACCACTCAAGTTTATGACCCTCATAAATGTTTGCTTGCATATTCCCATACCCTTCTCCACGCACGTGATTTATTATCCTTGTATACCGTATTATTGCTCTTCACTTAACAACCAATTTGTTTAACGACCTAGTCATAGGGATGGAACTCCGTCATTAAGTGAGGAGTGCATGTATAGCAGTTCATCTTTAATGTTTTTATGCCACAACGTTTTGGCCTTCTTCATTTTTCATTTTTCTTCTGCCTGATGTGCTAGCACAGACTAACACGGCTTCCTCTTCTGAACGGGGGACCTTCAGAGACCATCAAGTCCAGCCCTTGAGCTCAGCACAAGGACCTTGCCCACCGAGCATCCCTAACAGAGAGCCGTTCAGCCCGAGTGAGGATTTGTAAAGGCCTTCAGTTAAAGAAACCAGTGCCAGTGCCATGATTTCTACTTATACATTCTAGTTTATACAGGCCTTTTTAAGGAGCAAGGTGGGGCAAAACCATTTTAAATCAATAAATAAACAAGTTCATTTCAACTGTGCTCTGATTTTTAGCCTCACCCCTAGACGGAATTGCAGAACTGCCCCACGAAACCATGGCTCAGCGAGGATTTGAAAACAGGCCTGTCTCCCGGATTGACTCAGCCACTGGCTGCCCTTTGGCCCTACCGCCCTGCTCTCCCTGGGACCCAACAGGCACCGTAAACATCTCACAGCTCATGGCCTCCTTTTCAAGCAAGCGCTCACCACCAGGCGGCGGAAGTCCATGACGCGCCGGCGTTTGGCCTCCAAGTCCTGCCGTTCCACCTGCTTCGTCCTCACCGCTTCTTCCAGTTCTCGGCAGCCATCCAGCAGCCCGTCCCGGTATTCCCGGAGCCTCACCGCCCGGAGCTCCAGCTCAAACACAGCTCTGGGTTGAAGGGACGGAACAAGGTCAGCCGGGGCAGAGAGGAGAGGAAGAGAAATCCTCCCAGCTGTGTGCGTGTGTGTGCCCCTTGCAAAGAAGCACAGTTTATTTCCTTATTCACAAACATGTATTTATTTAGTTATTTTCTTTGTTTGTTTCTCCGCCTTTCCCCTTAAAAAGAATCCAAGGCGGCCTACATCAAAGGCATCATTAAAGCCAAACACAGTAAGTATACAAATACTATAAAGGATTAAACAAATACCACTGAGAAGTTGTAAACACAAACAATACTAAAAACACACTTGAAGCAGTAAGGCATAACCATTCTTTTAAAAAATCCCACTCAGGCAGCCAGACACCAAGGGATAGCTTGCTGGAAGAGAAAGGTCTTCATCTGCTTGTGGAAGGAGAGCAAAGATAGGGCCAGCCTGGCCTCCAGTGGGAGGGAGTTCCAAAGTCTCAGAGCAGCCACAGAGAAGGCTTTCTCCCATGTCCCCACCAAATGCACCTGTGAAGGGGGTGGAAGGGAGAGAACGGCCTCTCCTGATGATCTTAACACCCAAGCAGGCAAATACATGGAAGACGCGGTCCTTGAGACAGTTTGGAGAAAA